ACACACATGCATACACACATACATACACATGCACACACACATACACATACACACATACATACACACATAATCATACACACACATACACACATACATACGCACGCACACATACATACACACATACATGCATACACCATATATACATACACACACGTCCATACACACAGACACACATACACACGCACACACACATACGCACATACATACACACACACACAGACGCACACAAGCCAGCAAGCGAACAACAGCAAACCCGCAGCCGCACCACGGCCCGCAGTCGCCGCGACCAAAGCCTCCGCCCCCACGCGCTCCGCTCCCGCAGGCCCCTCCCTGGGTGGGCTCCTCACAGACACGCGCCGTGGTTCGGACGTGGTTTGCTCGTCCCCGCCAACCCGTGCGGCAATCCAGTCCCAGTGTCACAGTGTCTGGGGGGCAGGTAGGTCCGTGTCCCCGTCCCCTCAGCGCCCGCCCTCGACCTCGGCAGCAGCCCGCCCGCGCCCCCAAACCAGCCGTGGCGTTCTGCTCCGGAGCCTGGATAAACGCAGTCTCGGGGGAGACGTTAAACCAAAACGATTCACGCTTTATCGCAGCGCGGCCTGGCCACGATATACACTGGGCAATGGCTCTCGGCGGCCCCAAAAGGCACCTCCGATTTCAGCACATTACGAGACTCGGGCGATTTTTGCCATCGCAGCGGAAGCGGTCCAAGTTCCTCCTGTCGGCCTTCCTCACCCCCAGGTCGCACCGCTTCCGGCCCTGCTCCGCCTGCCGGTGCTGCCCGCCCGCCGGCCCGTGCTCCACGCCGCCCGCCGGCCTTGCTGCCTGCCCGCGGGGCGGCGGCCCAGAGTGATCTCGGCCCTGGTCCTTCTCCACGTCCAACCTTTCCCTCACACAGAAGACACTGGGTCCCGTTCCGCAGACCCACCGCTCACACCCAAGAGTTCCAACACCTCACCCAGCCTTACGAGGTGGCTGGCAGGACCTCTTTGTCGTCCTCTCCCTACCTGACCCGGAGGGGAGAGGGGAGCCCTACGGCTGCCCGGCCCTGCGGCGGCCCCACCGGCGCGATCGGGACTGGCAAACCGCAGCACCTGGTGGCCGTCACGGGCCCGCACGACCTCGTGCCTTATCCTGCGAAAGGCTGGTCAAAGGCGGTCAATCATGAAAAACTTAAAAGAAGTCAGCCACAAACCGGACGAAAACCCTGCTCTTTTCCCATCTCACCGAACGGAGGTCTCCTAAAATAGACCGCCACAGACTCTGCCTCGGCCCAGGGACCTTAGTTTCGAATATGCATTTTATCTCCCGATATGCTCCAGACGTAAGACGTTAGCTCCAAAAATTAGACGAAGGCCCTCAAACCCCGCAAAAGGCTCTCCTGAACCTGGCCTTCAAGGTCTTTAATAACCGAGGCCAGGAGGAAAAACTGGAGAAACAAAAGGGACAGAGCTAGAGACCAGCTGCCGGCCGCAGCTATCCGGGGCTCCGCCAACGACGCACCTGTCCGTAAAGGCACGAGGGCCAAAGCACCCGGGCAAAGCACCTGGGGACCGTGCTTTAGATGTGGCAAAGAGGTCACTGGGCAAAGGCTCGCCCCGACCCTAGGCCTCCCCGGCCCTTGTCCTGATTGTGGCAAAAATGGCCACTGGAAGATGGACTGTGAGCAAAGCTCTCAAGGTAGAGTCCCATCCCTTCGCTCTGGACAACAGGACTCCCTGGCCTCGACCTTCCTGACCTTCTGGGCTTAGCCTCTGAGGACTGAGGCTGTCCAGTGACACAGCCCCAGCAGACTAACTCCAGGGAGGCCAGGGCGATACTAACAGTGGCAGGGGGGCCAATGTCCTTTCTCTGCTCTGTGTGAATATAGGCCCCACCTGCCCGTCAAAGACAGCCACTGTGGGGGTTGACGGCCTCATGTCAAAACCCTTCTCTCACCACCTCATAATTGCTCACTTCTTAACCCGCCTTTGCCCGCTCCCTTTTAATCATCCCCAGCTGCCCAACCCATTTTAGGCCAAGATATACTCTCCAAATTCCGAGCCTCTCTTAGGCTCACCCCCTTATCAGGTAGCCCAGATCTCCCCTCCTCTTCCTCCTCACCATACCTGGCTCAAAAGAACCCACTCTTCCCTCCTCTCTGATTAACCCTACAGTCCAGGACACCTCTGCTCCCTCCGCAGCCCCCATCACAGGCCAGTCCAGGTCCACCGAACGGACCCCTCTTCCTGTCCCTGTCAAGCACAGTATCCTCTCTCCCTAGAAGTCGAAAGGCCTTCAGTCTATAATCAAGTGCCTTCTCTCAGAACCTCTTAAAACCCACCAATGCCCCTTATAATACTCCAATTCTACCAGTTAAAAAGCCTGGTGGACCCTGTCGCCCAGTGCAGGGTCTTAGAATTGTTAACCAGGCCGTGCTCCCTGCCCGCTCTGCACTTCCCCACCCACCATCCCACCCCTCGTTCGCTACTGCCGCTCACTGCACTGTGCCGACCTCAAAGATGCTGTCCTCACCGTGCCACACCCTGACTCCGAAATCTCTTTGCTTTCACGTGGGAGGACCC